AACAATTCCACAGCTACAAGATTATGCAAAGATAAATAATATAAGATTCATAGATGTCAATGAAATAGCAGGTGTCAATATAATGACATAAAAAGACTGTTTGCAGAAGTAGTAGCAGAAAGTTTCACATGCTTGGGAAAAGACCTCGGGTAAGTGAGGCATACAGAGCTCCAGCTAGACACAATCAAAACAAATCTACACCCACACAAAATGTTCAAGATCCCAGAACTTCATCAAAAGAAGACAATATGAAAGCTGGTAGGGAAAAGAAGCAGACCGCCTATCAAGGTAGGCCCATCAGAATCACAGCAGATTTGAAGAAAACAGTATGGAACATAACTATTGTTGGATTCCTACTATTTTGTTTGGTGAGATTCTGTATCATTTCTAATGATTTTCTGTACTATTTTATATTCTCTTAAAAAAACTAGATTAAAATAGAAACCATCTACATGTGTAGGAGTTTAGAGCTATGGTATCTAATTAGCAGCACCGTTTCTTTGAGAATGCAAGTCTCTCATGCAGTTTTGGGAATTTATGGGCGTGTAGCATCAGGAGAAAATCACAAGCTGAGTTCTGAACTCATGGAGCGATAGTATCCTTTATGCACCGAGGAATTTAAGAGCAATGTGCTCAGAAAGAGCCCAGGCCTGCGGAGTGAGAGGCATGAATAACCTCGTGCTTAAGGCTGCAGCTTCCTTAAAGCTAGTTTCTGAAAAGTTGGCCTTCTCATCTCTTTTCTCCCCATCTTCATCTTTGCTACCCTAGCCCATCCCATGACTCAGCTCTCACATTTCAGAACCAAGAATGTATGTGTTTTCCAGGCTGGTGTTATGGCTGGGGGTATTGGAGGTGTCCCTGGCACCCTGGGTCCACTTGGTGTGGCTCTGGAAGTGGCTCTCCTCATGGCCCTGACTCCACAGTTGTGCTGGTGGCTGCTCTCAGGAGGGCTGTGTATGACATTCTTGGACATCTGTGTGAAGGCCGCCATGCACCCTGAATCCTGCAGGATCAGCACCCGAGAGTGTCTCCACCACTCACTGCTGTGCTCCCAGAAGTGGAGGGTCCACTGCAGCCACAGCAGTGGTGGCCTGCGGGGCACCGTGCCAGAGCAGGGAGCTCAGGCCCCCCGAGCAGCAAGTCCCAAGGTCGCATGGGCCCGTCAGGCCCCTTCCTTAAGCTATTCTGTCCACTCTGTCATTGTGCTCGTGGCCTGTGGTGGGCATGGCTGTTTTGGAGACCTCTGTGTGCCTTTGGAGTCACCCTTTTTCTTGTCTTCATAAGCCACACCTATGTGCTTTCTACCAAAACTAATTGTTTTATCAAAAAGTCACTTGACCACGCCTTTGGTTTCACTCTCCTAAGCAACTTTCTCTCCTAAGGAACTTTTTGAAGATTCTTTACATGGCCAGGCTGTATGTTTTCCAAATTTTTATCTTCTGCTCCCCTTTGGTGACACAAGGGGATTAAAAATACTTATTTATTTTTTAAAATTAGCATGTTCATTACAGGGAACAGAAAAATACACTACATAAGGAGAAATCCTGGTCACTCACTGCCATAAGCAGCTCAGTCGGCAGTGCTTTAGGTCCTCTGTGTGCACACACCACATGCATCTTGTGTGCCATTTTGTACACCTGAAGTTGCACTGTGAGCCACATTGTCCCACACATCATGAATAGTCACCAGTTCAAAATCCCAAGGCTGCAAGGCTGTTTTTGTTAATCAAGAAAACACCACATGAACTCAATCTGTTAGGAAAAAAATTGTAATCCTGCCTTTCTTGGGGACAAGTTTCATTGAAGAGAAAAATGGCAACAGGCCTCTAGATGGAAGTTCTAGAAGAAAGACAATTAAAATACTGCATTCCCCTAATGCTCTATTTAAAAATGGAAAATAAAACAACATAGTGTATCAGGCCCACCTGAGAATTATCACATCTCTGCCATTAAAATATTAGCAGGAAGGTCTGTTCCCACTGAACTGCTAATGTATTTCTATAATACAGTGAGGTGAGCACACGTTTGTAGCTGTCAGCAGCATGTAGCTTCTGAACACACTGCATGCTTCCCCTTGCCGGCCCCTTCACTCCAGCCCAACGACAAGTTCTGGGACAATGTTCCTGACAGTGTAGCAATTCCCCACCCAAGATGTATTTTTTCTATCAAAAATTTTAAAAGATAATTGAGAATTTGTAAATTCTCTGGCTCTAACATTTACCACACACACTGTTACCTCAAGATACGGATGGAAGAGTTGGGCATGGTGGTGAATGCTTTTAATCCCAGAACTCAGGAGGCTGAGGCAGGAGGCCGCCCTGGGCTACATAGGTCCTGTGTGAATAAAAAGTGCAGATGTTGTGAATGGTAGGAATAGAAGGCAACGTGGGCTCAAACAGAAGAAAGGTGTTCTAGCTGCACGCCATCAACTCCACACAAGGAATGCAAATACTATGGACTGCAAACATGGCCTAGAAAAATAAGAGCTGAAAAAGGACGTTTATGTAGGAATTATTTTGGCATTTCCAACACCATCTGGGAGTGGGCATTATCCTTTAATGCTCAGCAATATTACGTGCGGAGTCTTGCCAGGCTGAGGGCTGCCTCCCTCTGCACACCCTCTCCCAGCCGGCGAACAGGCCAGCGGTCCCTTGAAGACATCAAATGTAACAACCTTGTTCCCAAAAGGTGACTCAACAGAAGACACTTAAAAGGCGTTATGTTATCCCTTGACCTCGACATGTGTGTGCTTTTAGCCATCTAGAAAGGCAGGAATTTCCGACAGGGACTTAAACGTCTCAGTGCAGGTGGTAGCAGCGAATAAATTGCACACATGTAAAAAGTCTGTTATTTGAAAGTGTCTTTTAGGTGGGACTGCTCTGCCCTGAAACCTGCCCCAGCCCTCGCAATCCAGGGGACAGAAGCATAAGCAACACCTAGAAGGGACTTCAGCAATTTCACCTGCTGCTTGGTTTTAAGAATAGCCTTTCCTATGAATTGCAACACAAAACACTCAGCTTGTTGTTTTGCTAGCTGGACTTCCGTTATACATCGGCCATCTCTTTAGCATCTAGGAAGACCAGGGCCGTACATTAGGGCCTTCTGATCTCTTCTATATAATTTTTCCCACAGCAAGTAGAGCAGAATGAACTGACATAGGACACAGTGACCAGTCATGCTTCACAAGATGGCGCTGACCCAAAGGTCAGCCTCTTTGTGTGGCCTCTTTCTCCTCAGCTCAGCTCAAGCTCTGCTCAGAGAGAACTCTGCCCACTGTACTTCTGAAGAACCACATTTCATTGCAAATTTTAATAAAATGGTATCTAGTGTGTCGTTTACTACTTCTGTCTTCACCATACTTTATTCAAGTGTAAACATCTAGAAAGACTAGTTGCTTCAAATAGGAAGTCCAGGTTGTTCACGTATGCACAGTGGTGCTGAATAAACTACACAATATAACAATGGCTACATTTGAAAGTGTTCTGTAAGTAGGAGGATTCTGGCTGAGAATTCTTCCAATTCTTTCCCTCCCGTTCCACATGTGGGGCAGGTCCGGGTGTCACAGCAGTCAAACGCAAGGCAGGACACACAAGGGCGATGGCTCAGCTGAAATTTTCAGGCATCCACTGACTTTCGCAGTTTCTTCCCTCCCACCTCTCTCAACCTCCTGAATAAGGACAGACAGCACATTGTTCACAGAGGCAGCTTAATAATTCCATTTCCAAGCACAGTATTTCCCATCAATTTCAAATAGGTATTTATAAAAAGGCAATTCTGTTCTTCGTACTCTGCCCTACTTTCAAATATATCAAGCACTTCTAAATAGCTTGAACTAGACTTGTCTTGTAAGACCGTCTCTTATGAAAGAAGCAACATGGATGAGCAAAACTGCACAAGTAGCCACGGTGATATCGGAGGTACCTTCTAAGTGTAGCCATTTGGCTTTGGGCCACCCCAGCCTCATTTGTTCTCTCTGTCGTCGATCCAGGGAACACGCAATGCTTACATCTGGTTGAACACATCCATATCCAAATTCATTCCCAGAGGACAAGCTTCTGATGATTCCAACATACAGTGTCCAGAATGTGTTAACTTTACAACTACTTTATCTCCCAGGAAACCTCTTCAACCTCTAGGGACTAGATGCAGTGAAATTTGGGTTTATTTGTCTGTCATAGACGTCATATAGGCACAGAGTGTGCTAAAAATGATCTCTGAAGATGTCTGAGTAGAAACGCACTAGCCCTCTCCTTGGCAGCTGGGCTCTTCCCACTTTTTCCAGCCACTGAACAAGCACTAGAGGTGCCACACTGCTTGTGGAAGAGGCTCACTAATTGAGTTCCCCAATGGCAGCATGTCGTATGAATTTTAGAAAAAGATTTACAAAGTGTATCTGACTAGCTCTAAACTGAAAATACATTGGCATTTCTAAGCAGCCAGGAAAGACTAGAAATTTCAAGGAAGGACTCAATTTGTCCACTGTATACACAAAAGTCTTCAGAGGCCATCTGAATTGCACATATGTAGCTATGGTTATCATTTGAAAGTGTCATCAAAACGTGAGGGGCATTCTGGCTTAGAACGCTTCTCCTCCAGCAGAGTGGGCTGGGACTCATGAATTTTCAGAGGACAATCTCTTCTAGACAATTTTAACAGAAATGCACAAGATTTATTAGTTTATTCTACATTTGTCATACATTGGTGTCTCCTCAGGAAGACTAGATACAGTAAATTAGGACACCTTTATTCTTTCTTTCTTTTTTGTTTTTATCTACCTGGTACAGGGTCTCACTATGCAGCTCAGACTCATGGTGATCCTCCTGTTTCCAGCCTCCCCAGCGCTGGGATTGCAGGTGTGCCCCACCACGCGTGGACTCAGTTGCCCACTCAATTTACCATGTGGGCAGGGCTGGCACAGCATGTGGGACTGGGGATTGAACCCTGGTCCCTGCACTTGCCAAAGCAGGTGCTTAGTCCTCTGAGCTATCTCGCCGGTCTTACTTTCTGCATACCATCCACACAGCAGAGTAAAACAAAATTTGTTCTGCACAGCGTAAGGGATGATGGTGACGCTGGGCGCACCGTATGTGCTGCCGTCCACATTTTCTTCTCTTACTGCAAAGCAGGGCTTGAAAACCTGCAGAAAGAATACTTAGACTAAGTAGTTCAAGAAATACTGGACATGACCAATTATAGGTGTGCTGGTGAGGAATCAGTGTACACAGGACGCAAAGGGTGGGACAAGAGAAGCCTTCTGTGTACATGAGACCGGTCATGCAGAGGCACCCGTCTGCCTTCTCACAGTCTCCTGCCTCAGGTCCTCAGCCCATGGGGATACTAAGGAAGAGTGTCTTCCTGCTGTCACTCCGAGATGGCCTCTGAGATGCAGAAGCTCAATCCTGAAAGCAAACCAAATGCCCATCAACCAATGAACAGATAAAAGTGATGCAGTTCTTTTTAATATAATGGAGTACCATTTTGCCATAAACAAGGATAAATTTGAGGTATTTATTGATAAATGGGTGGACCTCGAGACCATTCTCTTAAGTGAAATAAATCAGACACACATATTAAATATTGCATTGTCTCCCTGGCTTGAAAATCAAAATATAAATAAGAAACAAATTGTACAAGAGGTATAGTGAAATGGGAATAAATTATTCAAAAGGAAAAGAAAACTAGGGAAAGGGGAGGGTAGAGGGAAGAAGGGAAAAAATGAGAAAAGAAGGATAAAATGGGACAAAGCTTTGTACACAAAGAGGAGGTGTTAATGCAACGAGTGGTGACTGGGAGGGACAGGAAGCAAGTGAAGGTATATCACGCACAGGCAGAGTTCCTGTGACAAATGGGGGCACTGTGTATACCTGGACTGTACCAGCAGACGACCGAGTGAAAAGAAAAGCTTGGCCCAGGGCCCTGAAGGACTTCTCCATCATTCAGCTTAAAACTAGTCCAGCTTCGGTTTTGCGCTTCCGATTCGAAAGCCTCTTCCCCACACTGAGGCACTGGCCATTTAGTGTCCCTTTCCTCTGCTATCAATTGCTGTCTCAGTCAGGTCTGCGCTGCTGCAAGAGGATCCCTGGCGCTGAGAGATTTATGAAGAACAGAAACGCTTTTCTCACAGCTCTGGCATGTGGGACAGTCCCAGCTGAGGGCGGCAGCCTCTGCCGGGCGCTTCCTGCCTCACCTTCACGCGGCGGAAGGCAGGAGGCAGGAGCGAGGCCCTCCGCGGCCCTTCGCAGAGCATCAACCCACCTGGGAGGGCTCTGCCCCGGGTCCGAGTTCAGCGCATGCACTTTGGGGAGCCACACTCGGACACAGAGCGCACGGTGTGTCATCCTACTGCCTCCAGGTACTATGAAAAATATCTCAATTTTGTCACTATGGTACTGTTGCTGGAAAGTTTTTTTCTGGTTATTTTAATTTCTGCTTAATATGTTGTCATGTTTCTTAGGGGAATGAGATTTTATAATTGTGATGTTCTTCCTTGAGAATGAAACCTTTATTTAATTGTGATTTTCCGTTATTACTTTATGCCTAAAAATCCATTTTACCTTATTATTAGCTGTGTGTTGGATTTGTTTAGTATTTGCCTGGCTTAATTCCTGAAAATTTTTAATCTTTTATTTTTCTAATGTTAGTGAAGTTAGGAGTGTTTGTTAGAAGTAACAGAAAGCTAAGTTTAGTTTGTCTCGTTTGATAATCTTTGCCTCTTAATTCTTGAACTTCCTCCTTTACACCTATTCTAATGATCGTGGTTACCGTCATTTCTATCCTCCTGTTTTGTACTTTCTGTGTAGTGTTATGCCCCTCTGCACCTTTTTACCTTTTAGTGTTACCATTTGAGTATATTTTCTCATTATATGCTTTTCTCTCTACTCCTTTGAAACTGATTCATTCTATTTTTAGTTCAGTTGTTAGTTACCTTTGAAAATTTAATACAATTTCACTCCACACCATTTTCTTTTCTTTTCTTTTTTTTTTTTTTTTTGTGCAGGGTCTCACTACACAGCCCGCATTAGTAGTGATCCTCCTGATTTCTGCCTCCCAAGTGCCGGGATTACAGGCGCGTCACCACGCCCGGACTCCATCGCCGGCTCAGCGCACCCGGGCATGCGGAGCCAGAGATCGAACCCTGGGCACGGTGCTTACCTGAGCAAGTGCTTAGTCCGCTGAGCTATACCGCCGGCCCTCAATCCATTTTCTTGAACAAAATGAGGATGGTAGTGAATCCACTGCGCCCCTTCCCCTTCCTGGTCTATTACTATGGCTGTCCCGGGTCATTTTGTTTTTTCCTTCAAAGCCTAATAAACAATATCATTGTCTTATATAAACAATATTTGAAGTTTTCATTTTTACTTCTCTTTTTACTTCTTATTTGTACTTATAACTGGTGCCTTTCTTTTTTTACTTACTGATTCATATAGTGAATAAATTCAATAAACAGTAATGATATATCACATGACAGGTTAATTCAAACCTGATGAAGATTTTAGATTTTTTAAAAAAGTAAATTCTTGTTAATAAAGAAAATTCAAAATGTAGAACTAGAGTCCAACAAAACAATTTAACAAGATAAGCACATTATTTAATGAGGCAAAATTCACACAGAAATTTATTTTATATAAAATTATATTATTCTGTTATATTCTGAGGTGTGAAACAGAAGTATTAGAATTGAAATAGTTTAAATATTCTTTTATAACATTTATTATTATAAGAGAACATATAAATTTGATACAATAAGTTATATGGAAAGTAAAATTTAACAGTTTAATCATGTCACTGAAATATTCATTTTTAATTGTATATTTATAAAGATATTCCTGGGGCTGGGGAGATGGCTCAGTGGAATAAGTGCTTCCCTGGCAAGCGCAAGGGCCTGAGTTCAATCCCCAGTTCTGAAAAAAAAAAAGATATTCCTAATTCATACAATTTCAAATACAGAAAATTAAAATCATAAATAGTAATTTGAGCAAATTAAAAGTCATTGTAGCCAGGGAGATAGCTCAGTAGAATAAGCACTTGCCTGGCAAGTGCAGGGTCCTGAGTTCAATCCCCAGTTCCACAAAAAAACAAAACAAAACAAAAAAAAGTCAATGTATTTTTCAATATCCTTTGTTAATACTGTGAAGCCTCAAATTTTGTGGAAAGTTAAGACACTAGTTATTTAAATTTTTTCATTGTTTTTCTTTCCTTTAAATACAAAGTGTGTTCAAAATACAATAAACCTCAAAACAAATCTCCACATGCTGTACAGCAATTATACAATTTAGTAGTCTTTTTTCTGTAATACATCAGTGTTAAGTATTTAAATTAGTGACAGAATTCTCAAACATCAATTATAGACAGACTCAGCCAATTTAGTGATGGTTTTTCAGTATTGGCAATGGTAATGTCAGTCTTTTCCCAGTTTCTTTCTCTAGCTGGAACTTTGAATAAAATAATTTTGCCCAATTGTATTCACAGTCAAAGGAACAAAATATGTTCTACTGAATGCAATTGGTGTTTCTGCCATAGTTTTCCAGCATAATGGTGTAATACCATTCACTTAACTAATAGATTTTTGAGATAGGTTAGATTGTTATTGTCTCTTACATGCATTACTGAGGCTGATCAATAGTAGGTGAATGTCTAGCAGCACCTGACCGATATTATCCAGCGAGAGTTCAATAATGTGTGCTTGTTAGAGAACTGCTACGCTTTAAATTGTACGCTTAGAAAATATGGACCAAGAAACATAACAATGAACGGAGGCGTTTACACATAAAATACCTAAACATGGTTTCCCACCTCCTTCCACCTATGATGTAAAGAAAAGCAAGAGCAAGTCACGCGAGGCTGAGCAGTAGCGACGTCTTCATGGGATCCTTTAGAGACGCTGCTGATCAGGACCCGCTGCTTTCCTTTGGCCTTGCCAGATGCACTTTCTAAAATAAAATGATATATATGAACATATGCCTCTTCACTGACGTTATTTCAGCGGATCCTGATCTTTCTGGTCTTGACATCCTATAATGGTATTAATGGTGTTTCCTTCCCAGAACCCCAATGTTTATACCTTGGGTCCTGTATTAGTCAAAAGCAGCCCCCGGGATCATAATATTTGTTGTTGAAGTCACATGCAAAAGCTCATGGGGCTGCCTAAATATTTTATGAAGTGACACAGTTCTCTAAACTCTGGGTGTCAAGTAGAGGAATTAAGGGACACACTTTCTGACTACAAATGGGCAACATGACCCGTAATTCATAGTTCTGATTCCTTCTGCATAGAAAAGAAGTTCTTGACTTTCACTCTATATAAAACACTAAATCTTATTTAATATTAATGAACTTAGTAGCATACACTTTTGTATTTTCATTATAGTCTTTTTTATTTTTTAAGGTAGAGGTGTCTTCAACTGGTGCCTTTGATCTGGTTGCTTTCATTTGCCTAGAGGATGACTTTTGTTATGTCAC